TACTAATTTAAAGTGAACCAAAGTTGAAGCATAAAAAAATTGCTGTAGAGGAGGGAAGCCATTTAACCATATGTAAAAATGAAAGCATATTTATTACATGGCTCAATAGCACTGGCATGAAATAAAAAAAATGACTTCCATTAAGTATGCAGAAAAGTCACATATTTCTATGGCCTGAAAAGTAAAGAATCTTCACTGCCATGTTAATTTTAGAAGTCATCCCAGGAATGACAAATGTTTTTAATTGCAAAGCTCAAGGATGGATTTATGATATTGTGAACAGTACTTGTAAGCAGCATTCATGTGTCACAGGGACACAGAGCCTCAAGTCATGCCTAAAGCGTGTTCACATTCCCAGGGAAACAAAACAGAGGGAAGGTTTGGAAAAAATCAAGCAAGAAGTACACAGACCGATGAGAAAATGTGAAGAATGGGACCAACAGGGAGTTCTGAGACACTAGTTATTTAAAATGAAAAACAGAGCAGGAGAACATGCTAAAATAGTTGACTGCTCTTGTTCATTTTCCTGGGAAGAAGACAGTGTGAGACACTAAAAGCTTCACCCTTAGTAAAGCAGGTACCTCACTCGTTTTGGCTTCAGTGGAACATTGCCTGGAATCGACTCTTTTGGGTCTGAAGTTCAAGCCACAGCCTCGGGCCTACAGACAAATCACAATGCTAGATTTTCCCAGAACTATTTACCCAACAGAATATAAAAACGGTGCTCCTGATGTTATTTCATGTGCTATTTGTTTATGTATATAGACTTTGTGTATAATTTATGTATGTATATATTGTTTATGATGAAACTTTATTATTCAAATCTCTTCAAAGCATAATTACTTTAAAATATGATCATTACAATCTAGAGTGCTTAGCATGTAGTGAAATGTATAATAAAGTTTAAAAGCTGGAGAAAGAGAAATGGAAAGCTGCTATCAAAACCTTCAATTAGTCAAAAGAAGACAAATGAAAGGAAAAGAAATGCACTTGATACAAACAAGAAAAGGAAAACAATATGTTTAAATATAACACCATCAATCATGCTTTTTTTTTATAAAAGAATCTGAGTGACCCAATTGAAAAGCACGGAGCATGTATGTGCCACTTACAAGATATCCACTTTTGCGGGGAGACAGAGAGGAGAGTCTCAAGCTGGCCTAGACTCATTACAAAGATGAGGATGTCCATGCTGACCCTTCTGCCTCCTCCTCCCAAGTGCTGTGACTAGAAACAGCACTTGGACTCTAACCCCAGCCTTCAGGCATGCTACACCAGCGTTGTTCCCACCGAGCTACACCAACAACCCAGAAACCCACGTTAGCTATGAATACACAAATGGTTAAAAAAAAAAAAAGTTAAAAGACACAAAAGGAGAACACAAGGAAACCAGAGTTGTTATTATAATGACACAGGATAGATGATAGAGCAGAAAATATCACCAGAAATAGCAAAAGCCATTTCCTACTTATAATGAGGTAATTCATCAAAAGCACAAAATTCTCAATATTTCTGCTCCAGTAACAGGGCTACAAAAACATGATGTAAAAAAACTGATAGAACAGCAAGAACAAATAAGTATAGAATTATTCTCATAAATTTCAATACTCTCAATAATTGATGGGTCCATTTGGATTTAATTTATAGACTGATTAACCTAAAATACTCTATTCAGATTTTTTTTGTTTGATTTTCAAGACAGGGTTTCTCTGTGTAGCCTTCACTGTCCTCAAACTCACAGAGATCTGCCTCTGCCTCTGCCTCTCTGCCTCTGCCTCTCTCTCTGCCTCTGCCTCTCTGCCTCTATCTCTCTGCCTCTGCCTCTATCTCTCTGCCTCTGCCTCTGCCTCTATCTCTCTGCCTCTGCCTCTGCCTCTGCCTCTGCCTCTGCCTCTGCCTCTGCCTCTGCCTCTGCTTCTGCCTTGGCCTCTGCCTCTTGGCTCTATTCAAACTTTTATAAGATCATTTTTAAACTATTTTGCCTGCAACAAAACTATTTACAATTAAATAATTAATTTCAAAATTTTTTAATTCAATATACTGAGTTTATTTGAGGTTCTCTAAAATTTAAACAGCTAGTGACTTAAAACTCAACCCCAAAGAAGTTAAGGTTGCAACTATGGTGATATGTTCACTGGGAATTTTTACCCAGTTATGGTCTTGATTTGTTCCGGCCACAATTATAATTTCGCTTTGGAATGCTGTGTACAGAAAATGGGGGAGGTAACAGGCTGCTGAAGAGAGAAATAAAGTAACAGACATCTTATTCTAAAAATTATATTTCTAATAAAACATAAATGTTACATGAGACTATATATCCTGAGCACTTTCCTAGCGAGGGTAGATAAATCTTTCTTCTATATCTTTGATCTTGTCAATTATACACAATCTATACTCTCAAAAATATTTCTCACAGGGCTAGAGAGATGGGGTCAGCAGTTCAGAGCCTATATAATTTTTCCAGCGGACCAACATTCAATTCTCAGAGCCCTGCCAGGAGGCTCACAACCACCTGTAATTCCAGCACCACAGGGTCTGACGCCCTCTTCGGGACTCCACAGGCACCTGCACTCATGTGCATATACTCATACACAGACACACATACACATATTCAACATTTGTTTTTAAATCTTTTTTATTCTATTATATTTCCTTTTTTTATGAAAGTAGGGGTAGATGAAAGATCTGAAGGGGACAGAAGCACCACAAGGAGAGCAACAGAAGCAAAATATTTGGCCACAGGGGTTTTTTCTGAGACTAATAATCCAACCGTTGACTATGCATGGAGATAACCTAGAACCCCTGCAAAGATGTAGCCCATGGCACGTCTTTCTCTAAGTGGGTACCCTAGTAAGGGGAACAGGGACTGTCTCTGACATGAATTCGGTGGCTGGCTCTTTATCACTTCCCTCTGATGGGGGAGTAGCCTTGCCAGGCCACAAAGGTGGACAGTACAGTCAGTCCTGATGAGACCTAATAGGCTAGGATCAGATGGAAATGGAGGAGGACCTCCCCTGTCAGTGGACTTGGAGAGGGGTAAGGGAGGAGAAGAAGGAGGGAGGGTAGGATTGGGAGAGAATGAGGAAGGGGGCTACAGCTGGAATGCAATGTGAATAAACTGTAATTAATATAAAAAATAAAAATACATTAAAAATTAAAAAAAAGAATTCCACATTTACTTATGGATAACCACAATAAAAAAAAATGAAACTTTGACCACTAAACCATTTCATAAGTTTCCAAGGAAAATATAATGCTTTTGATGTTCACGGTCCTTTCAGTGTTGTTTTTCTTGTGTCTCACAGGTCTCCTGTTATGGCTGGAGGTCTCTTTTCAGTGGATCGAAAGTGGTTTTGGGAACTGGGTGGCTATGACCCAGGCTTAGAGATCTGGGGAGGAGAACAGTATGAAATCTCCTTTAAGGTAAGACACCCAGACTGTCCTCACCCCATAATTACAGTCAATCCTGATAGAATGTGTCACTTTGCTTTGTGATCCATGTTGTAAGTTGGAGCTGTGCCTCCCAAGGGAGCTTTTGGAAGAAAAGCAACTTCCATCCCATGTTATAGTGAGACACAGCCATGCAATGTGTAAAAAGAAACCATTCACATTCCTATTTATAGGTTAGCAACTCTACATAACTACACCTACAGCTCCTCTGGCAAAGGCATTCGTCTGGAGTGCATATAGCATAAAGTACAGAGGAGTAAAAATGAAGTCGGGAGACAGAAACCAAGTCAGTCGAGTTTTGCCTTTCATGTTCAAACAGCAGAGAGCAACTGAGGATTTGGTCTTAACCAGTTATTCCAAAACTCAATGGACTGCTAATGAATTTAATTTTAAAATATCAATGACAAATTGAAGAGTATGTTTTTAATTTGTGTTTTGTTTAATTTCATTTTGTTTTGATACAGCATCTTAAGCATACTTAGACTGGCCAGAAACTATATAACCCAGACTGGCCTCAAACCTGTAGTAATCCACCTGCCTCAGCGTCAACTGTGTTTAGGATTTCAGGTGTGAGCAGGTTAGCTACAAGCAACTCTTGTACTTACTTTATCTGTAATGTCCATGTGTCTACTTACCATAGTGATTAATTCTCAATTAAATGCTATGAATTATCACATACATGTATATACATCCTATACCCATACATATGTATTTAAGATTCCATTTCAAATTCATGGTATATAAACAATAAACTGTAACATATGAAAAAAAAAGTTAAAGCAAAATAAACTGTGTGAGAACTCATATTCCAAATTGCCAATAAAATTTTGAAATTCAATCTTATTTATTTATTTATTTATTATGTATACAGTGTTCTACCTGCATGTACACGCACTCACCAGGTCTCATCTTAGATGGTTGTCAACCACCATCTAGTTGCTGGGAATTGAACTCAGGACCTTTGGAAGAGCAGCCAGTGCTCTTAACCTCTGAGCCATCTCTCCAGCTCTGAAATTCAGTCTTATGAAGAAAACAAAAACTTCTTTCTTTCATCTTAACCACTGTTTATGTAGAAGCAAAGGCTGACTCTTGTGTCATGACTATATGGAAACCTCTGACATAAGTTACCCTTTGGTGGCTACTTCCATTACAGAGTCCAACCAGTGCTTGTTGCAGAAAGAAAGTATACCCTGAATACAATTAGAGCCAAACATAAGAATCCAGCTACAAGTTTTGGAATTTGTGAAGGGTGATGACAAACTGATTTTGATGAGACTGTAACACTATGTATTGAAAGAACATTAATACTTTCCTCAAGGAGAATATCACAAAATAAACATCCTCAAAAGAAACAGAGGTGTCATGGCAGGTTTTTTGGGACATCTAGAATTTTCCCTCTCACCTTTAAAAAACCTTTTACGAAATTAGTGTATTTTTAAGCCATTCAAACATATAATTTTGCATCAAAGATAATTTTTTTCTTTTACCTTTGAAGATGTATTGTTTTAGGCCTTTGGACTTGCCAGGGTCTTTGGGTCCTTCTGTTAGAGCAGCAGCTCTTTGTCTTTGTGTAGTAGGTGTGAAAAAGTTAGTGCAGCAGTAATAGTTACACAACAGGATAACCACATTCTTAGTGCTATAAGCCAAATGCTGACCTGAATACTTTTATATTAGCTGTTTTTTTAAAAATAACCTTGAGGCAGGGCAAGATGGCGGCGCCGGGAGGACTCTCATTCTGAGGAGCAGCACAGCAGGATTGGCACAGTGACCAGCAATCAGAACTCACGGCCATAAAACACAAGGGACTGTGTTTCACAGGTGAGAGGATACCCCACGGTGGGGGATTCAATCAGCTTTAACTCACCAGCTAAACCTCGGAAGAGATCCCAGTTCTGCCAGGCGCTTGGTCGCCAACCCAGAGCTACCCGCCAGCGCGATCTGGTCACGGTCCCAGACTGAACTGTGGGCCCACAACACCATAGACTGGATTTCCCAGTTGAGAGATAACCCCACGGAGCAGGAAACAATTGGGACCGACCTCAGGTTACCCAGACATCCCCTGGAAAAGACTCGGGTTCAGCGGGTACCCCAAGAGCCAGCGCGGACCCAGAGCCGGGATCCAGGCGCCTGCCTGCGCGCCTGATTCGCCGCCTCAGATAGAACTGTGGGCACCAGGGCACCAGACTGCGTATCTCTGGCAGGAGGAAACCCCCAGTGGAGGGGGTCAGCAGTTCTAACGCTTAGGACACCCAGCACCAAAACACTTCCTGGACTCACGTAGACTCTAGTGCAGGCAGGAGCACTGTGCTCTGCCGCCACTATTGAGTTCCCCTAAGGCACTGGGACACACAGCTGCATCCTCAGACCTACAAAAGCCAGAGAGCCATTACAGCAGCCCTCAGATACTGTGCCAAGGATCAACCAGTTATTCCTAGCTAGACTGTCAAAACTGTGGGAATCCTTGGTCCTTCAAGAGGGCTGCACCCACAGGGTCTGGACCAGAGCAGTGCCTGCAGCCGCCATCCCAGACAGAGACACACAGCTTCTGGTCCACAGTGAGGCACCCAGCCTCCAGACCAGAGCAGTGCCCCCAGGCACCAACTCAACCTAGGTGCACATTCTCCAGGTCCAGAGCAGAGCAATCAGCCTCTGGACCAGAGACTTGCTGAGTGCACCTCCCACTTTCCCAGACAGAACTGTGCGCCCCAGGATAACAGACTGAGTTTCCCTGTTGGGAGAAAACCCCACAGCTAGGGAATCAGCAGTTTCTTCAAGAGGACTGTACATGGAAATTTAGTGAGCAGCATCACACTAAATTTATAACAAGAAACCCAGCAGTGGGGCAGCTGTCTTGAGAAATTCTATGGGTAAGAGGAGATCCCCCCCTGCCTAACATAGACCACAGCTACTACTCAGGGCTATAAACCTGAGGTGAGCAGTGGCAACTCCTGAGAAACACTGGCCATACAGTGACCATAACCAAAAAGCAGAGAAGGACTCCTTCAGGAAAAATCATCTTCCGGCCAAGGGGATACTCCCTACCTCAGGACTCCAGGAAGCACAGAAACTAACAGCCAACACCTAAATCAGCCCAATGGGTAGAGGTCAGCGTAAAGACTCAACCAACAAAAGACAAAGCAATATGGCATCTCCAGAACCCAGCCATCCAGGGGCGAACAGCCCTGAACAATGCAGCATAATAGAAAATCAAGAAGATGACCTTACATCTATGTTGATGAAGAGGATAATAAAGGAAACAAATAAAATACGTAAAGAATTAGAGGAAGATAAAACCAAACAGATTATGGCTATCTGTAAAGAAATGGAGGAAGATAAAGACAAGCAGATTAGGGCCATCCGTGAAGAAATATGGGAAGATGCAGCCAAACAGCTTGTGGCCTTCAGAGAAGAAATAATTAAATCACTGAAAGAAATAAAAGAGACAGAGTTGAAGGAACTAAAAGAAAAAGAGGAAAATACAAGCAGACAGGTGAAGGAAGTAAACAAAACAACTCAAGACCTGAAGATAGAACTAGAAAAATTAAAGAAAACACAAATGGAGGAAATAATGGAGAGGAAGAATTTAGGGAAGAAAACAGGAACTACAGAGGTAAGCATAACCAACAGAATACAAGTAATGGAAGAAAGAATCTCAGGTGGAGAAGATACAATGGAAGAAATCGATGTATCTGTCAAAGAAAATGTTAAATCCAAAAAATTCCTGACACAGACCATCCAAGAAATCCAAGATAATATGAAAAGACAAAATCTAAGAATAATAGGAATAGAGGAAAAAGAAGACTCCCTTCTCCAAGGCCCAGAAAATATTTTCAACAAAATCATTGAAGAAAATTTCCCCAAGTTAAAGGAGAAACCAATAAGGATACATGAGGCCTACAGAACACCCAACAAATTTGACCAGAAAAGAAAATCCTCCCGCCATATAATAATCAAAACAGTAAGTATACAGAACAAAGAAAAAATACTAAAAGCTGCAAGGGAAAAAGGCCAAGTAACATATAACGGCAAACCCATTAGAATCACACCTGACTTTTCAACAGAAACTATGAAAGCCAGAAGGGCCTGGACAGATATCATGCAGACCATAAGAGAACACAGATGTCAACCCAGGCTACTATACTCTGCAAAACTCTCAGTCCTCATGGACAAAGAAAACAAGATATTCAATGACAAAAACAAATTTCAACAATACCTACACACAAATCCAGCATTACAGAAGACACTGGAAGGGAAAATACAATCCAAGAAAATTAACTTCTGTCAAGAAAACACAGGAAATAATTAAACTTACTACAGCAAAACAAAAAGCAACCAAGCACACAACCTTAGAAACACAGCCAACATCAATATCAAAGGATCTAACAGCCACTGGTCATTAATCTCTCTCAACATCGATGGACTCAACTCTCCAGTAAAAAGACACAGATTAACAGAATGGATATGTAAACAAAACCCAGCAATCTGTTGCATACAAGAAACACACCTAAGACACAAAGATAGACATTACCTGAGGGTAAAAGGTTGGAAGACGACTTTCCAAACAAATGGACCCAAGAAACAAGCAGGAGTAGCCATTCTAATATCTGATAAAATAGACTTTCAACCAAAATTAATACAAAGAGATGAGGAAGGACACTTCATACTCATCAAGGGAAAATTCCACCAGGAAGACATCACAATCCTGAACATCTATGCCCCAAATACAAGAGCACCCACATTTGTAAAAGAAACATAAAATTTAAACCACATATAGATCCCCACACATTAATAGTGGGAGACTTCAACACCCCACTCTCAACAAAGGACAGGTCAACAAAACAGAAATTAAACAAAGAAACAATATCTCTGACAGAGGTCATGAATCAAATGGACCTCACAGACATTTACAGAACTTTACACCCAAACACAAAAGAATTTACCTTCTTCTCAGCACCTCATGGAACCTTCTCCAA